CCTCGAGGGCCCTCCCAGTCCCCTGGGCCCAGGCCACTGGCGCTCACCTGCTCCCCCTGCAGTGCGAGGAGCTGGTCTACCTGTGGATGGAGCGGCAGAAGTCGGGGGGCAACTACAGCCGCCACCGGGCCCAGACCGAGAAGCACGTGGTGCTGTGCGTCAGCTCCCTCAAGATCGACCTGCTCATGGACTTCCTCAACGAGTTCTACGCCCACCCCCGGCTCCAGGTGCGTCCCGCCCGGGGGGCCCCCACCCTGGGGTGGGCCTGGGGGTCCCAGGGTGGCCAGTGAGGAGGGGACAGCTGGGCTGGCAGGGCCGGGCTCACCCCCACGCCGCCCGCAGGACTATTACGTGGTCATCCTGTGCCCCACGGACATGGACATCCAGGTCCGCAGGGTCCTGCAGATCCCCCTGTGGGCCCAGCGCGTCATCTACCTCCAGGGCTCGGCGCTCAAGGACCAGGACCTCATGCGAGCCAAGTGAGCCCCCGCCCGCCGCAGGCCCCAGCCCGTCTCCTCGCCTGGCGCCCGGGGGACGGTTCCTCTCAGGTTCCAGGAGGGGCTCAGAGGAGACGGGGTGGGGCGTCCCCGCGGTGCCTGGGGGACGAGGTGGCTGTGGGCGGGTGTCTTTAAAGGCAAGCTGACAGGGTGACTTGAGGTAAGATTGGGTTCTTAAATGGAACTTTCCAGAATGTGCCTGTGCCTGTTCTGGGACTTCCAGGATCTGACACATCCTTCGTGGGGACATGTGGGTTGAGGGGAGGCCCCGGCCCCCTCCCGTCTCACCAATAAAATGGGCACAGGAACCAAGCCCCTGCCCAGAGGTGTGGCAGCCGGGCACAGGCTCCCGGGTGGTCCACGCCCAGCTCCAGGCCCAAGGGAGAGACAGTGGCTGCCAGAGACCAGCAGGTTCCTGGTGATCGGTGGGGAGGGCCGGGCCTCTGACCTCCCCTGTCCTGGGCCCCTCTGCAGCCAGGGGTCCTCAGGGCTGTGGGGGGCGGGGGAGGTGGAACTGGGTACAGGTTGCGAGACTTGGGCAGCTCACCCCAGGAGGGGATAGGCCGCTGGTCGGGGTCCAGCGTCTTTGCCAACATGTGTTCCCCTCTGTGCACCCCAGCCCCGCCTGGGTGAGTGGGGACACGGAGGATGGTGCCCACGGCGGTCAGGGCCCCGACAGCACGTTGTTAGCACAGAGAGGTGGGGTCTCGACGGGCCCACCCCTTCCAGCCTCTGCCCTGAGCCCCTGACGGCCAAGGGCGTGTGGCGGGTCCGGGCCAGCTCCGGTCTGTGCTCTGCAGGATGGACAACGGGGAGGCCTGCCCCTGCTGGTGCACACGTCCCGTGGCCAGTGAGTGCCGCCCACCTGCCGCCCGGGGGGACGAGGGGTGGTGGGGAGGCCTGGGAGGAGAGGGGCGTGTGCAGCCGGCAGAGGTCTCATCCAGAGGTGGGTGCTGTGGGGGGAGATCACAGGTGCGGGCCCGGCTGCGGACGCCAGGCCCACTCAGGACGCAGGTGCTGGGGACCCTGAGCAGCCAAGTGGGGGCGAGCTGAGGACTCCAGGCCGGGCCCATCTAGAGCAAGGGGGTGCGGTGGCCGGGGGGGGCGTGGTGGCCAGGAGAGCTGCACTTGGACCCAGTGCCGGCTGGCAGGGCCTGGTTTTGGGGAGAAGGTGTGTTTGGTTTGCAGTATCTTGGGGGGGGGCGGGATCCCAGCTGAGCCCTGGGACAGAGCAGGCTGCTGTCCTTTCTTTGGGGGAGACCAGGCTGGGATCCCCCTGACAGGGGCCTGGGCTCGTTATGGGACCTGAGCAGCCCTGGGGCAGGGCCCAGGCAGGGGAGGCCAGCCGTGACCCTGAAACCTCTTGGTGCCCCCTAAAAATCCTTGTGTTTACAGCTTTTAAAAACTAGCCAAGTGACCCTTCAGGCTTCCGAGGCCCAGCCAGGCAGGGAGGGGTCCGGGTCTGGGTCAGGGTCGACCACACCCTCTCGGCCCCCAGGACCACCAGACCATCCTGCGAGCCTGGGCCGTGAAGGACTTTGCCCCCAACTGCCCCCTCTACGTGCAGATCCTCAAGCCTGAGAACAAGTTTCATGTCAAGTTCGCAGGTACTGGCGTGGGGCCATGTGTGCACCACGTGTGTTCCTCCCAGGACTGGGGGGCTGGAGCACGCCGAGCCACGGCTGGGGGGCAGCGGGCACCCATCCCCTGGGCAGGGACCCCGTGCAGGCCTGCCGCAGGGGCTGGGGTCAGTGAGGGCAGGAGCCCAGGGCGGGGGAGGGCAGGGACATCTGCTGAGCATCTCGTGGGCGTGTCTGAGGGGGGCACCTGGGGGGCAGGTGAGCAGGGGATTGTGGCGCAGAGGGGGCTGGGGGGCGTCCACCGACCATCTGCCCGCAGACCACGTGGTGTGTGAGGAGGAGTGCAAGTACGCCATGCTGGCCCTGAACTGCATCTGCCCGGCCACGTCCACCCTCATCACCCTGCTGGTGCACACGTCCCGTGGCCAGTGAGTGCCGCCCACCTGCCGCCCGGGGGACGAGGGGTGGTGGGGAGGCCTGGGAGGAGAGGGGCGCGGTGTGGGTGGGGCCTTTTCAAGCCACGCCCCCTGTGCAGTGTGGGTGGGGCCTTTTCAAGCCACGCCCCCTGTGCAGTGTGGGTGGGGCCTTTTCAAGCCACGCCCCCTGTGCAGTGTGGGTGGGGCCTTTTCAAGCCACGCCCCCTGTGCAGTGTGGGTGGGGCCTTTTCAAGCCACGCCCCCTGTGCAGTGTGGGTGGGGCCTTTTCAAGCCACGCCCCCTGTGCAGTGTGGGTGGGGCCTTTTCAAGCCACGCCCCCTGTGCAGTGTGGGTGGGGCCCAGGGAGCCACGTCCCTGCGGTGTGGGTGGGGCCTTTTCAAGCCACGCCCCCTGTGCAGTGTGGGTGGGGCCTTTTCAAGCCACGCCCCCTGTGCAGTGTGGGTGGGGCCTTTTCAAGCCACGCCCCCTGTGCAGTGTGGGTGGGGCCTTTTCAAGCCACGCCCCCTGTGCAGTGTGGGTGGGGCCTTTTCAAGCCACGCCCCCTGTGCAGTGTGGGTGGGGCCTTTTCAAGCCACGCCCCCTGTGCAGTGTGGGTGGGGCCTTTTCAAGCCACGCCCCCTGTGCAGTGTGGGTGGGGCCCAGGGAGCCACGTCCCTGCGGTGTGGGTGGGGCCTTTTCAAGCCACGCCCCTCTGGTGTGGGTGGGCCCCGAGGAGCCACGCCCCCGTACGGTATTGGTGGGCCCCGTCGGCCACGCCCCCAGACGTTGTGGGTGGAGCCCACGAGCCACGCCCCCCAGGTACGGCGTGTGCCTCATCGGGCTGAAGCGGGAGGAGAACAAGAGCATCCTGCTGAACCCCGGCCCGCGGCACTCGCTGGCGGCCTCCGACACCTGCTTCTACATCAACATCACGAAGGAGGAGAACTCGGCCTTCACCTTCAAGCAGGAGGAGGCGGGCGGGGCCTCGG